TTTTTTTGAATCGGGTCACGCTTTTTTACACAATGACCCGAAATCAATGAGTAAAAATCTACACCATACCACCGCACCAAAGTTAAATTTTAGTTGAACTATGCATTCGTTTGCGATGTTAATAACAACTCATTTTCACTTTATATCTAACTACACATTCGTTTACAAGGGTCATCACAACTCATTTTATTCTATATATTAGCCCTTGCTGAAACTATGCTCACCACGTCCGTGTGTCCAGCCATGTTAGCTGCATCTCCTGCCGAATTTGCGGCAGCACCATCGGAATAACAAACATCCGCAAAATAAACCTGAGAACAATTTGTTATAACTTATATTCCACAAAATGTAAGAAGCTATCATATTTACTTCCCCAGATCCATCCGATATTGCACCCAAGGGATGGATTGTAGCTCCACCAGAAGCACCACAAATTCTTTCATCACTGATCTGGAAATATACAAAATTGTATGTACAAAACACATTCACACAAGCATAAGCACAATAAACACTTACCATATCAATTATTTTTCTGCCTGCTTCCATTTTTAATTCAATTTTTATAGTTTTTAGATAATTTCACTTTTCGCTAATTCTTTAATTTCTTCTTCCAGCCAGCTGTCAGTTGAGTTTTTGACACTATTCAAGATTTTGCCAGAAAAAATTCTTCTGACTAAATCTGACTACATACTTCGGACTGATGAGAGTCACTCTCACTGGGTCTTGCTCTCTCATTTTAGCTGTCATTTCCGAGTTAAGGAACGCTTTCTGGACTAAATCTGACAACTTCGGACTTTTTCTGACTATTTCTGGGAGATAAGGAACGCTCCTATTATAGTTGGCGATATTGCGATATCAGAATCAATGTTACGGGTAGGACCGAATCAATATGACAGCTCAAGAATGTGTGTGAAGAATCCTAAATCGATAGCAATGTATCGGTGCATTAATATTTAAGTGCCCCACACACCCTTATATAAAGTGGTCATCCAATATTAGGGGTATCACACACTATCACTTACATCCGTCAATCATAAAGCTGAACCTACACGTAACATTTTCATCATTTATATCATAAAACTATTGACTTTTAAACTGAGAGTTATGGAATAATTAATAAATATTATAAATTTTCATTTGCTAATCGCCACCCACCCAATAATAAAAAATAAAATAAAAATACATAATACAGCAAATACCACATCGTGGATCGGAATCTCGGCCTTTCCGACCACGATCAAAAAATAAAAGCGCTATGGTGCGGAAACCAGGCCTCTCCGCCCGTAGCCTACATATAAGCAATATATAATTTTATCCAATACAGCATCAAGGTAGACTGGAGACTCATCCTCGCCAGCTATCCACTACCTTAAATTATTCCAACTATGTGCAAAGAAATCTTTAACCAAATGTTTCCAGGAAGCCGAATACAACTTATATATATTTTTTAAATTTATTTGTTAATGTAGGTGTGGTGGTTGAATGGCTCGACAGATGTTGCTTATAGCAAGGGGTCCGGCATGTTTAGGCCACTAGCCTAAACCAAACTTTGAAAGGGTGAACCACCCGATATGTACATACATACGAATATGAACATATAAATAATTGCATTATTTTTCCCGCCAACGAATTAGCCCAATTTCCCCTCAAAACAGCTCATCCTTCATCACACCATAAAGGTAATATTTCGTATTCACCTTACATTTATATATGTGTATACCTACATAATTAATAAATCAAACACATATTTGACGGAGCATTAATTTTTCGTGGCTTTATTTATTTTCTCGGCCTACACTGAAAATACATCGGTGGAACCTACGGCAACATATGGAGCTTCGACTTGGACTACGAAATCTACTGCTTTAAAAATTCAAAATGTATTCCAGGTCAAGATTTGTATACTGCTGCAAGTCGTCAAGATGCCCCTGAAAGCTGTAAGCTAAAAATGAAGTCCAAATTTTCAAAAAACAACATGGTTTGGCAAGCTAGTTGTTCCTGTGGCGATAAGAGCAGCCTTTTTTTCCGGCACAATGAATGATCAAGTTTATCGGGATGAATGCCTCAAAAGGCGTCTTCTGTAATTTATCAACATATAAGGTAGTAGGGCTCTGTTCTAGGCGGACATGGCAAGCTGCCACTATGCCAAGGACACATTGCCGTGGTATAATGCAAATAACATCAGCTACGTCTATTCCCTATTGGGGAATATTGGTCAATTGTCAGAGGAATCTTGAAGAAAACAGGTGAAACAGTAAAAAAAAAAACTGAAGAGTGCAAAACAAAGTAGTTGTGCGCATCGCGTAAAGTCAATGATTTAGTCGTGCAGAATATGATGTCACGTGTGCGATGAAAATACCGATCACTTGCATATGGAGCAAATAATAACTAAAATTTTAACATTTTAATAACATATAAACTTCCAAGTTATATAACACAAAAAAACTAATTTCAAAGCCTTCTAGTTTGTTTCTCTTCTTGTTTGTAGTAATCTCTAAGTGTCGCAGTTTTGGTGTGTTCACCCTTTAAGCGGGGTCACGCCCATTTTCCAAAAATGTCATAAGAATACTATTTTTTTACCAAAATTTGACTTCCCATACTAACTTTCAACAATTTGGTTCAAATGTTTACTGAAATATCATAGGTTTATCATTTTTCGGAAATGCCGTTATATGGGAAGTGGGCGTGATTACAGTCCGATTTCGCCCATTATCAACACCAACCTACCTTGGGTAAAGGGAAACCTATGTATCGAATTTCGTTAAGATATCTCAATTTTTGCTCGAGTGTATCGTGTCGATTAATCGACTTCTCTATTCATTCTGAGCATTTATGTATGCATTTGTCTATGCATATATATGTTGATTCGTTTTTGGCTGTTACCAACAACTGTTATGTGAACAAAGTGGGGCACCGAAATTGCGCATATGGAAACTGTGCATTTAGACATTATTTCGGTTTCAACCGAAACTGTGCATGTATGCTTTATTTCGGTTTTTACCATATGCATTATTTCGGTTTTAAACCGAAACTGTGCATGTATGCATTGCTTCGGGTTTTTCATATGCATTATTTCGGTTTTCAACCGAAACTGTGCATGCATGCATTATTTCGGTTTTTGTTATATGCATTATTTCGGTTTTCTAACGAAAGTGTGCATATGGATAATTTCGTTTTTTCTAATATGAATTATTTACTTCTACTTAGTAAGGGTATTAATCCCTAAGCGCGGCTGAAAGCCGCCTACGCAGAGAAAAGTTCTGCGCAAAAATACGTCCGCCCTTCTTTTCCGGCAATACAGAAAGGAGAATTCTACTAAGTAAGGGTTATAATCCCTAAGCGCGGCCGAAGGCCGCCTACGGAGAAAGAAGTTCTGCGCAAAAGTACTTCCGGCCCCCTTTAGGGATGTTACGATACAAGTAAATACAAGTAGGTACTCGATACTTTCATCTTGAAACCAAGTACTTTTGGCATCGATACTTTTACCAAATACAATAAGTAGGTATCGGATAAAAGTACTTGGTATCGGCAAAAAGTACTCATACATAAACTCCCATCGCTTTTAAAGCAAAAGTACGAATGCCAAAATATAAGGTAGAGCAATAAGTGAGAGCACAATATTCGATCAACTCAAAGCCATTTGAGCAACAGAGCAAACAAAATTTACCGTTGCTATTGTGGTTTGCTATACCTCATTTCATTTGAATTTCATTATCTTGGTGGCGTTGCTTCAACTGAAAATTAAGCTTGTAGAAACAGTCCGCAGAAAAACTAATTTAGTACGTATTAACCAAAGTATTTTACATACAACATATTTGTGAAATGGCGCCATCCTCCGAAGTGTGGAGATATTTCACAAAATCTAACTCCTCAGAAGCTTCATGTAAAATGTGCCCAAAGAAGGTCAGATTTTGTGGAAACACATCAAACTTACACAAGCACATGAAAGTGCATGAAATAAATACATCAAAGAATAAGTAAGTAGTTAAATACACTTTAGCTCATCTAATGTTTTTCACTGATTTGGCTTGATGTACCTTTTTTTTAGCGTTGAGGAAGGTAATGGAAACCCAAAACCACAATGCAGCGAAATAAAAAACATGTTTCAAAATATAAATTCTTACAAAGGTAAATGTAAAACGGTGGGACCTTTATCACACAATACGGGCAAGGGGTTTGGTCCAATTGGATTTAAAACTCATATATGTACATACTATATGAAGTACAATCACGAAAAACCGTAATCGTCTATTGGGGAAGCACTTAGAAAAACTTTTATTTCTTGGAAATATTCCAGAAGCTGAATTTTTTAATTAACTACCTTTACATATTTAATATGTATGTATTATTAAAAAAGAATTGACTTTAAACGAGAATAGTAGTAAGGTATTTTCTTCAAATATGTTTTCAAAACATTACAGTATATATATTCACTTGGTACATGAAAAATACCAAAAAGCCTTAATAAACAAATCTTTAATACAAATGTATTTGTCTTTTTATTATTTGTTTGCTTGACGATTGTTAAATCGTTTGGATAGAGAGACATCATTTTGGACATGTTTTAATTGGATCTTCACGGTCAACCTAAAATTTTTGAGTAAAAGTAGCAAGCTAGCTGGCGGAAAATGAGTAAATAAAAGTACATACTCGATACTTTTTGGTTGGTATCGGCTTGGTATCGATGCCTTTTCAGAAAAATACTTCCAAGTATAAGTATCGATACTAAAGGTTATTTTCACATCCCTAGGCCCCTTTTCCGGCAACACAGAAAAGAGAATTCTACTTAGTAAGGGTTATAATCCCTAAGCGCGGCCGAAGGCCGCCTACGCAGATAGAAGTTCTGCGCAAAAATACTTCCGCCCTTCTTTCCGGCAACACAGAAAAGAGAATTCTACTTAGTAAGGGTTATAATCCCTAAGCGCGGCCGAAGGCCGCCTACGCAGAAAGAAGTTCTGCGCAAAAATACTTCCGGCCCCCTTTTCCGGCAACACAGAAAGGAGAATTCTACTAAGTAAGGGTTATAATACCTAAGCGCGGCCGAAGGCCGCCTACGCAGAAAGAAGTTCTGCGCAAAAGTACTTTCGGCCCCCTTTTCCGGCAACACAGAAAAGAGAATTCTACTTAGTAAGGGTTATAATCCCTAAGCGGGGCCGAAGGCCGCCTACTCAGAAAGAAGTTCGTTTTCATGTATGCACTATTTCGTTTTTTTTCATATGCATTACTTCGGTTTTGAGTCGAAACTGTGCATGTATACATTACTTCGGTTTTTGTCATATGCATTATTTCGGTTTTGAACCGAAACTGTGCATGTATGCATTACTTCGTTTTTCTCAAATGCGTTATTTCGGTTTTCAAACGAAAGTGTGCATGTATGCATTATTTGGGGTTTTTCATATGCATTATTTCGGTTTTCAACCGAAACTGTGCATATATGCATTATTTCGGTTTTCAAACGAAAGAGTGCATATGCATAATTTCGGTTTTCTTAATATGCATTATTGCGGTTTTCAACCGAAGCTGTGCATATATGCATTATTTCGGTTTTTTTCATATGCATTATTTCGGTTTTTAACCGAAACTGTGCATATATGCATTATTTCGGTTTTTTTCGTATGCATTATTTCGGTTTTTTTCATATGCATTATTTCGTATGCACAGTTTCCATATGCACAATTTCAGGGTGCCGAACAAAGTTAATATACCCTTGTGCACAAGTGCGCTCGGGTATAAAAATGTTAAATAAAATTTCGTTGGTAATGATGAGCTCCCGATAAAGATTGTCAAACTCATTTTATTTTATATACTCGGTTGCGTTACACATATATTCAATCATTGCTTGACAAGTTCATCTTTTCCTTCCTCGTGGAAAGTGGCAATCGTTCCGCCGGTAGCCAAGAAATCAAGCGCTTCTTTGATTTCTGACTTTAGGCCCATTAGCATATTAACCGGGCTTTCTAAGGTGTTTGAGATGCTACTCGTGCTCTCAAATAAGTTTGAATTAATTCAGGATGTCTGTAGTAGCCTTAATGACGATCTAAACTCTATTCTTGCATGGTCAACGAACAACCTTATTTTTCTTAATGCCCAAAAGACATGCGTTATCCCAATCTATAAAGATAAGATTTCGGTAGCTCAGATTCCCTCCTTACTTATTGGTACAGATCAGCTTAAAGTTGTCGAAAAAGTAAAAAACCTAGGGTTAGTTTTTAACTCAAAACTCGAGTATGATGATCACATTAATGAAGTTGTTAGCAAAATCTTTTGTATACTACGTTGTCTAAGAGTAACATCTTCCTTTGTACCGTTAGATACGAAAAGGAAGTTGGTCACAAGCTTAATTGTTCCTTATATTATGTACTTCGAAATTGTTTATAGTAAGTTAGATCCACACTCCCTTAATAAATTGAACATTGACTTCAACTCTGCCACAAGATACATATATGGTATAAAGGAGTTTGGTCACCTCTCATCTATGAGAAATTCTTTACTTGGCTGGGATTTACAAAATTTGTTTAAATCACGTAATTATACCCGAGCGCACTTGTGCACAAGGGTATTATAACTTTGTTCAAATAACGGTTGTTTGTAACAGGCAAAATGTATACATAAATGATCAGGGTGAAAAGAGAAATCGGTTAAGCGGTGACTGTCTGTCCGTCCGTCCGTCTGTCCGTCCGTCTGTGCACACGATAACTCGAGTAAAAATTAAGATATCTTAACAACACTTGGTACGTGTACTTCTTTCGGGCGTAGGACGGATGGTATTGAAAATGGCCCAAATCGTGTACTTCTTTCGGGCGTAGGACGGATGGTATTGAAAATGGCCAAAATCGGACAATAACCACGCCTACCTCCCATATAACGGTAATTTTCAGAAATACGAAAACTGCGATATTTTAGTAACTACTGAAGATTATTCACTCAAAATTGATATTTACAATAATTATTAGACGAAAAATAAGAATATTATAAATTTTTGAAAAATGGGCGTAGCCACGCCCACTTATGGTTACATGTGTATATCTTGGCAACCGCTGCACCGATTTCTTCCAAATTTGGCACAGTTATTTGCCTTGCTACAGGATACCAAATGGCCGAAACCACGTCCACAGCCCATATAACGGTAATTTAGAGAAATACGAAATCTTCGATAAATCAGTAAATATTGAAGCTAATTTATTCAAAATTGACGCTTGCAACAATTCTTTACCAAGAAATACGTTTATAATAAAATTTTGGAAAACGGGCGTGGCACCGCCCACTTATGATCACATATATGTATCTCGGTAACCGTTCTACCAATTTGTACCAAACTCGGTGTGGTTATTGTGCTTGCCACATAAAAGCAAAAGATTCAAGATTATTGAAATTGAACTAAAATTACGGCTTTTGATATAACGATAAATTTCACATATGCTTAAAACTTCAATATTTCGAAGCTTAAAGACGCTAATTTACTCAAAATTGATACACCCCGGCTTACCATGTAGTGGTAACTTTCGGAAAGGTGAAAGACATATATTTAATATTTGCGCCGGGTATTTAATGTTCGGCTCCGCCCGAACTTAGACTTTCTTTCTTGTTGTGTTTTTATGTTTAAACTTGTTTTTACTGGAAAACCGGAATACCTTTATAATAAACTTCACTTTTCGAAAAGTATACGTTGTTTTAACCTACGGTTGCCAGACGTACTGATTTTTTTCTTTAAATCACGTAATTGTGTTTTTATGTTTAAACTGGCTTTTACTGAGAAGCCGGAATACCTTTATAAACTTCACTTTTCGAAAAGTACACGTTGCTTTAACCTACGGTTGCCAGCAGTGTTGCCGCGAATCTTTTTAGTGGTAGCCAAATTCCTTTAAAAAAAGGGCTAAAAAAGAGCTAAAAAAAGTCGTTGTGGCCAAAAATGGTAGCTAAATTTTCTTACTTACATATACATAAATAAGTATACATGCAAACATTTTCAATAAGTAATGGTATAGAAAAACAATGAGCTAATATTTTATCCAACCAGAAGCCTCTTTGTATAAAAGGGGAAATATACGACACCAGCTTGCTGGCTTCATCAAATGATTGTACCATCAGGCTTGAAGCATATAACTCACCAGCATGCTGGTACAATATTCATTTCTTTACAAATGAGTTCGAGGAAAGACCGAAATGATTAGAGCCGAAATTTTATAACTTTTCTACCATTTTGTTAAACATTTTTTTATATATTTTTTTTAATTCATCACCTCAATATCGTGAACTTAGTCTTCCACAAATACGGCTTTGACTCATAAAAATACTTTTTACTTAGAAAATTTAGCTGATTTCACCACTCACGACACTAGCATGCTGGTACAATCATAAAATTTTCAAATAGTTTTTGAAGTCGCACCAGCAGGTGGTCCAATCACACTAGAAGAACATACACGGTCAATCGACTTGATGGGCCATTTAACAAATTAAGCATATTAAGGGCCGTAAACTTATCTATTTTAAACTATAGTTAAATCGTTAATAGATAAGTTAACAGCCCTTACACTTTTACAGTATGTATGTATAAAAACGTAAGGAACATACAATACATATATGTATATATATTTATCAGCCTTTCTTAGTTTAAAAATTCATCTTTTACATAAATGAAAAAATAAGATCAAATTAAGTATGTATATACAAATTAAGTATGTATATATATGCTAGGGGCAATTTTAAATTTATGTGACCAAAAAAAGTATGTGGTAGCTAAATCTAGCCACCAAAGGGCTAAAACGGCAACACTTTACACACACACACTGACTTTATCAGTACAGTCTGATTTTATTCATTTCTTCAATCTGTACGCGTATGACCTGATTTTTCAAAATTTGTGCTGATTTCTACTGAGTTTTCAATTCAAACAAAATACTTTAAGATTTTCTTAAGGTTTTTACATTACGTTGGAACTTCCTTAGCTTGGAACTTCCTTACGTTGAAACTTCCTTAACTAATTTAATTATGGTTGATATGTTTCAGATAATGTTTGATATACCCAAGAAATTAATACAACAAAAATATCAATCGTTTTATGGGCATATCGCCGAGGCGTTACGGACCAGTTGCGTTAATATGATGGAGCTTAAATTATTTAAAAAAGGCTGATGTTTTTTTTGTCGAGTGTTGTTAATTATCTCGAAAATAACTTTCAGTTTAATAACAACAAATTTGAATATTCGAATGGCTTTTGCCTATAACTTACAATTCTTTTTTCACAATTTATTGACATTGTAAAAGAGTTTTTCATAAAAGACATAGAGTTAGATACAATTGCAAAGTTTTTGCGTAGTTGAAAAAATTAATTTAAGCCATGAGGAAATATAGGTGAAGTCATTAAATAGTGGTACTTTTCCACAGTTTGAAAAAATATGTAATTTTGTTTTTTTTTCAACACCATACTCAAACGAAGCAACTGAGAGGATCTTAAGTATAAAGTTTGCTTCCTTGCGCAAAGA